CCCCCCCCCCCCGCCAAAAAAACCGGCTGCAAAGGAGACTCACCAGCAACCACCAGCTGTATTAAAAACTAGGTGCAATAAATTCTTTGCATAATCAATTACGAATAAGGTTCACCTGATCAATTTATGATTCCCGTCTATGTGCCATAGTGCATGTGGCCCACTAACACAGTAGACAGCTCTTGGTGTAAGGGATAGCCATCTCATTGCAACTCCCTCCGGATCCGTTCGTTGCATAGGTTCGATTTCCGCCGCTTTCTCGAGTCCGGTCTACGTTCCTTCCCGAGAAGAGACGGCTGGACACGTAAGCGGCAAAGCATGTTTGTGACGTAAATTCGTAAGTTCATGATGCCGGAAATGTCATCTGATGACAATCATAGGCAGGCCCACGTGACGCCTACGGCTCGTAAATTTGTGGCTTTTTCGCCACTTCCTCTTTTAATTTTGGCCCTCCAAACTATTTTGTTTCACATTATTGTTGCGGAAGGGCATTACATGCTATGTTCTATAGAAGAGTATTTTTTCAAAAAAAAAGTAGAACAGAGCTGTTTGACTATGATGTAGCAACTGTCATGTCAAAGGTCACATATGTTTTATGGTGTGCATGGTGTTGACACCATGTTTCCCGGGCCATGTTTATGTTTTGCTAGTTCGGTTTGCTTTGGCTCATTTAAAAATTTAATTTTGTCTGGCTTCGCCAGAGATTGGTGTCGCTTCCCGTCAAGAAGACTACCGTACACATCAATTTGACTGAGTGTTTTGTTTCTTGAGATCGATGTTTGTGTTTATCCCTCTCTTTGCATTTGTTGACTTTGTTTGTTATCTGACATTCTGGCACCACAAGATTCAAATATAGATTCTGACGCATAAGTCTGTTGACTATTTTGCGTGTTGTATATGCCACTATGGTTTAAATCAGGCAAGATTTCATCAGTTGACGGTATTTGGTTAAATGTCCCACTAATAAGATCGCAGTTCATATCGCAAACTTCTTTGCTACTGCCAGAAAGCTAATATATGCAGCCTGCTCGATTCAGGCAGGCAGATTTCTTATTGGTTGAAATTAACAATGCCAAGTCCACGAGTCCAGCCGTGAGTTCGGGGGAGGAGCACGGGCTCCTTTCCCGAACAGCGGCTGGTAATCGAGCCTATTCGTTGCATGCATTCTCGGACTCTCAGCTGGGACACATTTATATTGCGCAACATTAGCTGCGATTGGACCCTCCGATATCCCGCATTTGGAAAATCCCTATGAATGGCTCTTACAATGTTATCAAGGTCATCATCACTAATGGCTGTCCTCCTGTCGGTAATGGAGATATCGTACTCCCGCATACGTCTTTTTATGGTACTCTCACTCACACCGAGGGCTCTGGACATGTCGGGTATGGTGATTTCATAATCGACAAGATATTGCAGCTGCTCCCGTGGAATATCGAACCTAGGACGCCCTACCGTTCTAGGCTGGTTTGCTACTGCTGGGGAGGAATGATACCAATTCCGCTCCACCTCCGACAACATTCGCGTCACAGTGGCGAGTGAGGGTCGAACTGTATCAAACACCTGCATGTTGTCAGCAAGTCGAACCAAATGGCGAGAAA